GGAGAGGAAAAACTCCCCTTTGGGAAGAAACCTCTGGCAGAACCGGGCTCAACATGGTGGTCTTCTGCCGGACCAATGCAGTGAGACGAGGGATGGTGCCAACTGGGATTAATACTCTCTGATGAGGTTAAGGTGGAGACGTGTCGAGGATGACGAACCAGTTGCGATGGCGGAGAAGGGGATGGAGGTGGGAGAATTGTCATCTGAATCGAAATCCGACATAGTGCTGCAGGATAGCGGGACTGGGATGAGACTTTGGAGAGTTTATAAAGTGGAGGCAGAACGCTGATTGGCTTCGTGGAGGAATAGTTCGGAGCCGATTGGCTCGTTTCGGAGACGGATCAGCTTCTGGTTGGATGGAGGTAAGCCAGAGTTTCTTCAATTGAATTTCCGCTAGAGCTTCATTTGATAGCAGATTAACGGGCTTTGCTGAACTACAGACATCTGAATCAGGTGTATAAAATACCTAAAACATGCAGGGAAGTAAGCCATGAGAACCAGGTTTGAAAAACACTGCTCTGGAGCAGCGAGTCTAAAACCCCTGACCTCTGACCCACCTATTGCAACAGACTGGATACCCCCTAAAAATAATTGAAATACCTCACTCTATATTTATTTATACATATCAAGGAAACTTTTTTACATTTTAATTGTTTTTAAATGACATTTAATGATTTAATTTATTCTTTTAAAATCAATATAATTAATTAATGCAACATTTATTTATTCAATTTAAGAATTTAATGGTATATTTCATGTTTAAATCATTATTATTATTTATAATAAATAAATGCAACATTTATTTATTTCATAGTAGAATTAATGCTTCTGTATTTCCGATTTTATTTAACATCCCCCACTCAATTTCTCCTAATACTCCCCTGACGGAATCCAAGCCTCCCGGTTAGCATATCCTTAGGTGCATTTTACTGTGCTGACAGCGCCGTGCAGTTGTTGATGTAAAACAGCAGAGTAGCTGTGGACCTCACCCAGATCCTTAGTACCAAACTGTTCTTTCAAAACAGTATTTTAACTGAACAGAGCAAACTTTCATATTTCAACAGTCCTTGTTCTCCTTTTACAGTCTGAAAATCATGTGTGATAAAAAGTAGCGGTAGCAAAACACTTTGCCTAAGATTTTCGATTAACCAGATTAGGAGATGCTTTTCATCATTCTTGCTATTAAAATTAATCTGTTGCAGTTAAAGGCCCCATCATGACTTATTGCCACAAAAGGCAAGATGTACAGTAACATTTTTAGCCTTCCAAAAAAAGAAAGTTTAAAAACAATCTACTGGACTTTGTTTCCAAGTTTGGAGACGTTTCGATTCCCATCCAGGAAGCTTTCTCAATTCAAAATGTTAGGAATAGTGTTGAGTTTGAAGTTTTATACAGTAGTCCTACAAAGCCTTGTTTTTGTTTTGAAAACATGCAAATTGAAACGGACAAAGGGTTCCACTCCATTGGGATGGGGGTCGTTTGGGTTCAGGGTTCCACTCCATTGGGATGGGGGTCATTTGGGTTCAGGGCTCCACACCCACAGATAGATACCCCAGAGACAGACAGACAGACAGGCTGGGGTACCATGAATGATCAATTATGAACAGTTTAGTTTGTGCCTTCAAGTCGTTGCCCATGAAGACGTTACTTGGATATAACCTAATGGAATATCTTCAGAACAGCTCCAAATGACACAAACCTCATATGGGTGAGTAGAACATGATGTTATAATGTAAATCAAGCGCCAAATGTAAAAAAAAGACATTACCCTTTAACATAGCCTCCAAGAATCCTGGTCTCTGACTACTTTTTATAACCTTCAGGATTACTTTAATAGAGTTCTCCTCCCCGAAAAAAAGATAATTATCATGTGCAGTTATACATTTTAAAGAATCTGTTTCCCTTTCTCTCTCCTCTGTGTCGCTGAGACGTGCTGCAGATTGCAAAATCTAGGGTTACCTCCATCTTATATCAGAGATCTGATTGTTCCTTATGTTCCTTATGAGCACTTTGCTCTCAATCTGCAACTTTACTAGTGGTCCCTAGAATTTCTAAAAGTAGAATGGGAGGCAGTGCTATTAAGCTCCTCTCCTGTGGAACCAACTACCAGTTTTAGTCCGTGAGGCAGACACCCTGTCTACTTTTAAGGGGTAGGCTTAAAACATTCCTTTTTGATAAAGCTTATAGTTAGAGTGGCCCAGCTATCTCTATAGTTATGCTGCTATAGGCTTAGACTGCTGGAGGACATATGGAACATGGAGCCTGGTTCTGCTGGAGGTTTCTTCCTGTTAAAAGGGATTTTTTTCCTCTCCACTGTCGCTACAAGCATGCTTGGTGTGAGGGATTGCGTTCGAGTCAATGAGTCGATGCAATCAACTGGTTTTCCTTAGATAGAAAAATTTGAATCAATTTGACTGTATGATGTGGTGAACTGTAAAGTGCCTTGAGACGACATGTGTTGTGAATATGCGCTATATAAATAAACTGATTTGAATTGAATTTTCATACATTTTCTAAAATCCATATTGTGTGGCCACTTCTGCTATAACTTTTTGCTGCTGTAACAACACAATTTCCCCATTGTGGGACAATTAAAGGGTTTTTTATGTGTATGCTACCTAGATAATAAGTAAAAGTAAGTCTTAGAACAGATTTCTCAAGCCAGGTGGCGCATTAGACCAGGGGCTCATCTCCTGTTTCCAAAATGCATCACAAACAGCTTGAGAAAGCTTTTCTACTGTGATAAATGGTGATTAAAATAAATAATATTCAATAAGATGTATTTGTGTTTAATACGTGTTTATTCAAACAAAAGTTTATTCTGAACTGTAGGCATAATAAGTCATGATCAACTGTTTAACAGTCACAAGCATTGTGTCAGTCAGTCTATTTCTCCTTTTTCCAGCAGTCACTCAGGCAGTCATTGCAATGTCCTGTGATGCTGGAGTAGCCGCAAAGGCTGCTGGGTAATATCAAGATGGGGAAAACATAACTATTTTATTCTAGTTTTGTGTTAAAGAGGGTTGTTTATGTTGAAAGTCTGTTCATGCTAAGCTAACATTAGGTTCTGGCAGTTCCAGTTATAAGTGTTAACATTAACACCGTTAACATTAACACCAGTTGAATACAATGTAGCAAGCATCTCATTGTTTTTGTGTTGCATAAATAAAGAGCTTTGCAACTGGACCCAGGTTTTTAATGTGAGTTACTTACGTGCTGGCAAACACGCTACAATATCATGGTTAAAGTCATCATTAGTATATACTGAACCAAGCAATTAGAGGGTGATATCGTTACAGCATCGATACTTTTTAACAATAATTAATTGGGAGTCCTCATGTAATTTTGTTTGTATTGTGTCCACTTGCCTGTTGCTTTAATTCAATAAATTTCCACATGTGAGAGAAAATAAAGTATTAGTTATTGTTGGCCCACTTAGATAACATGTTTTAATGGGATAGATGTACTGGGTTCTTCCAAGGTCTTTATTACACTTTCTGAGTGGGCTCCAGTAACACATGACATATAATATCTACTTTGAAAGTTAATATGAAGGTGATCACTCTTATCAACCTGTATATGCTGTTGCCATTGTTTTCATTTACAGTATTTTCCGCCCCGATGGCCTCTCTCTCTCTCTCTCTCTCTCTCTCTCTCTCTCTCTCTCTGTCTCTCCCTCTGAGGGGGGAACAGCAAAGCGCTGTAATACAGACTGAGAGACAGATGAATCTGCTGCAGTTAAGCTGGGCATACACTGTGCGATATAGCTACTGCTCTGATGCGATCTTACGACAGCCGACTGAATTTCAAACATGTTTGATTTTCTCCCGACCTTACCATTCCTGATAAGGAGGTGGTCATGAGAAGGTGATTGCCCCTCATTACCCCTGTACACTACCTGACGCATGACAAGGCTGAAACTCAGCAGGATGGAAGATTTCTTGCACAACTGGACAATCGGCCTGAAAAGGACAAAAAAAATCGTACAGTGTATGCCGCCTTCAGTGCGTGCAGGGGAGAATAAAAATCATCATTCTTGTTAAACGAGTATTGTTCAGTATCAATAACAGCTTTGGTAGGATCGATCCGCCCACCTGCTTTAAAAATATATTAACGGCGGATTTTGTTTAGACAAGGGTCTGGCATTAACAGAGCATGTTAACGCCGATAACGGTCCACCACTAGTTATAATTCATTAAGACATCTTCTGATTTTGCTGTATATTTCTTTACATTTTAATCAGCTAATTTATAGACTTCCCCAGATTCTGATCTTAAAATAATAGAAGATGTTATGAAGCTGCATCCCTTTAAAAAAATCAACCCTTTGCACCAGGTCCCTCAGATTATATCGCTATTAGAGCCTGTAGGACACCAAATACTCGACTAATTTGGGATTATTATTTAGACTGACATAAAACCCTTCTTGCAATCCTTATAAATTCATCCCGCCAGATTAAAATATATTGTTTACGGGTTTTAGCTAAAAAAAAAAATCTACAGCTTTACACTGATTTAGAATTGGTGTTAAACTTTATACCCAAATGACCAGATTCTGGAGATTATTGCATATGAGAGAGATAAGCGGCTGCCCTCATGGGAATTATATCTTTTTGTAATATTCAGTTGATTGCAAGTTTGGCACTTTACTTCCTCTGTTATGGAAGACTAGGAATGAAAAGCACCTCCAGGAAAGAGAAAAAGGAAAAGAAATGTTGTGGTGAATGGCACACACACACACACACACACAGGCCTACACACTGGAGATAAACACATAAGAAGGCTTAACTTCTGGTAAATGGTGACAAGAGGAAAAGAAGCTGAAACGTATGGGCTGGGTGTCTATCTCTGGAATGCATGCAGGAGGAGACCCACAGTGGAAATGATAAGGTTTGATTGCTCTAAGGGAGGAGGAGGTCTGGCGTTCTGCGCTAAACATTGCTCTTAACTTGAGGAAGTCATGAATGTCTTTTAACCAATTTTTATTATGTTTGAAGGATCCATGCAAATGTAAGAGAAAGTGAAAGAAAATTACAGATAGACTCAAACAAACACGACTGGCTGAGGAGACAGTGGCTCTGTGCACAGAGAGGGAGGGAAGCAGAGCTGGGCTGGAGGGAGGAACTCTTCACTCCTTCAAATGAAGCTTGTCAGACATTAGGAGAGGAGGCAGAAGAGAGTCTCAACAAGCCAAGAGCAGAAACAGAGTCAACTCAGAAAGGGGATCTTTTTCTGTTTTTTTTTTTTCTATATGCCATTGAGGTGACAAGACAGACCCTCCTTGTCTGTGGGTCAGCTGAGGAGAAAAGATGAAGAACCAAATCACCAGCGCCCTTTCTGACTTCTTCTTTGAGTATGAGACCCCTCGCCAGGTGCTGGTGAGGAATAAGAGGGTGGGACTTGTGTGCCGGTTCATCCAGATGGGGGTCCTGGTTTACATCATTGGGTAAGATACTTAAAGCAACTGTTATCTTCGCTCTGCAAAACAGCGAGTTAAATAGAGCTAATTAAAATGAAATGTTCCACTCACTAAAATAGTTGAAACAAAGACGTCTTGTTGAATGTGTGTGGGAAACAGATATACAGTAGGACCTACCATGTCCTGTTGACTGAGCAAACATCCAAGCAAACTGCTGTTAGCAATCAAAGAGCATTGACTGGCAGCTGTGGCAGAAGATGGTTCTGACATAACAAGACAGATATTTCCTGTCCGTTCATACAAGTTGAGACATTCAAAAGTGTGCGTTGTTACTAATGCTTCCTGGCTCACCTTCCACATTTTCTAACGTGCTTTGACATGCAAGTTCCTTTTAACTGTTGGGCAGTTAGGAGCAAGCACAAGAAGAATGGTTTGTAGTTTTCATTTAGCATTTGAATGATATTTATTGTTTTTCTTGTGCATCTGAGCAGCGAAACCTGCAGGAAGGAGAATGATGAAATGCACTGAGGCACATGCTAGGACAGATAAAGATCAAGCGCTGCACAATTTGCTGCCAAACACAGCCGACGTGTTATTTGGTGAGGGTGATGCTGACAGACCCCCAAAAAAGTGAAAACCTGAAAGAAATGGAGATGACTCTGCTGAAGAATTTAGGAGGAAAACACTCCATCTATTTTCTGTACCTGCGTTGGAGCGACTGGTGCCACCACACAGCTTGCTTACCATTTTTGGCTGTTGGTTGATTGGTAAGGTGCCAACCTAGCCTCAAACCACCCAGCGCTCAAACCTGAGTGTGATTTATTGCAGCCAGTTAAACGGACATAAATGCTTTTAGGTGGAAGCCAGAGCATCTGGTGAAAAACCATTACATGCATAGAGAGAACATGCAAACTCCATATATACAAAAAAATTATGAATCATTTTTTAATTATTATATATATATATATATATATATATATATATATATATATATATATATATATATATATATATATATATATATATATACATATATACATATGAAAAAAGGACCTAAAGGTTTTAGAAAAAAGGGGATAAGCACTTCTATAAAATACCTTTTTTTCCCACATCAACAGAAGCACTGCACGTTCTATTTTGGATCAAAACCGGAAACATTATTAAACTTGTCCTCCTACACTCCCAAAAATATTTCATTCAAGTTTGAACATTTATGTAATTTTATTATAATAAAAACATCCCATTTACTTTAGATCATTTTAACACAAACCTATTAAATAAACCTTACATATGTTATATTCACATGTAAAATTATTTTATTGAAATACATACTAATCAGAGGTAGGCATTTATTTTAGAAAATAAACTTTCTCCAAATTAAAACTAGTGAGTGTATTTATCTTAACTACATAACATTTATTGATTGAATACACTTTTAAGTACACCACAAATGGATCCAAGTTGGCGTTGAACACCTGTTTGCTTCAGGTAATGTCACAGGATAATTTGGGGGACGAATATGCAGGCTGGGATAAAATCTATCCAGTGGTGCCACAGAACACAACACCTCCTGTTTTTCAGCCTGCTATGTTAACCAAGGTGATGTGTTTTCATATGGGAATGGAACGGATGGGCATTTCAAGGGGGGACTGCTGCCCTCTGAGTATTATGTTAAAACCTATGACCTCAAAGGGAAGGTTATACTAGGAAACTGGTGGTGAATAGGGTTGACGTTTGGTGATACTGTGGTGGGAGAGTATTGTGGGGATGGCTGCCAGTAAATTGGAGGGGAAGGTGCGCTTTGGTTTCCCTGCTTTCCCCTATCCAGGTCTTCCCTGAAACTGACCGGACAAGTGCTTCAGGGGGTGTTTTCAAGAATTAAGAAGCTCTGCATTTAACCCATCCCCTTGGGGAGCATTGGGCTGCCATTGTCCGGCACCCTGGGAGCAGTGTGGGGGTTAATGTAGGGTGACCAAATGTCCGTATTTCCCAGGACATGTTCGTATTTCACGTGCTGTCCTGGGCGTCCCGTTTTTTTTTTTAGAAAGTGAGGAAATGTCCTGTTTTTTTAAATTACCTTCATTGGACCATTAAATTTACAGACGCTAGGGCACTGCGCACGGCGCTGCGTGTGACGTCACCCCTGAGCCGCGTCAGTGCGGGCAGCCCTGTTCTTAATCAGAATATAGATTGCGTGGCTATCAGTATGCCAACAACATGCAAAGGCACAAATGTATGTTTACCGATGATTTACAAAAGAGTTTCCCCGCTTTCAGACCAGGTCGGGACAAACGGGAGGCCTTGTGCACATATGTCTCGGTGTCCAATGGAGGTGCAAGGAATCTGAAAAGCCACCTGGACACCGAAAGTCAAGATATTCTATTGATATGTTTGTTCGTTTTTGGTACATTTTGAATAATTTTTGCTACACAAGAGGTATTTTTTGTTAATTACCTCATTTGTTAATTTATTTCGTTCATTGCTGAGGCTGAGTATCATCTGTTATTGGGAGCTGAGAGTTATTGTTAACTTTTATTGTTAAGTGAGGAATGTTTAGATGAGACATTATTTCTTTCATTGTGCTATTCATTCATTACAGGAATTGTTAAGCATTTTTAATAAATACATTTTGAATAAAATTATCATTTGTTATTGGAGTTATTGCTGTTGACTTTTACTGAAAAGCATTTTTAATAAATCAACTGTTAATATCATGTTATTGTAGGATTACCTAGGCCTATGCATGGGAACAGAGATCCCCCGCCGCCGCCCCCCCGCTCCAAGGTGTCCTGGTTTTTCAAAATGAAAATATGGTCACCCTAGTTAATGGTCAGGGACCCAGAGTGGCAGTCCATGGGAGTGGGGCTTGACTCAGATCTTCAGGATTCCAAGCATAATACCCTAACCACTAGGCCACCCTAACCCTAACCCTCCCCAGGGTAGGCATTAGCATGAAGGATCCACAGTGGCAGCTCATTCCCCCGAGCTGTGATATGAACCTAGGCTTCCTGTTTGCAGGTTGGGTGACTGTGATGGTCTGAGCAGTCAAAGGAAATTCAGGCACAGGTTTAGATTTAAAAAGTCTTCTTTTTATTGAAACCAAAACAAAGAACTTGGGTCAATAAAGAACAAATTACAAAGTTGGGCCCATAAAAGAGGTCAAATTTAAAGAAATCCCGATTTAAATATAATGAGACTGGCTGACCTATTGTGTAATTAAATGTTACTGCATTTGGGCTGCTGTAGTTGAAGCCATCACAGTGACTTACCTATGGAATTGGCATATTAGGCATAATAGCTTTGTATACTGTAGACGCAGCTTCTGATGTCATCATGCTCTTGTGCATGCAATGCTGCATCCATGTCCACCATGAAAAATCTACCGCTCCTCCTATCCTTCTGTACAAAGACCAAACATAATATGGAGCAAAAAGAGAACTGGTTTTACCTGCCATACTGCATTAAATAAAATGATAAAAGAAATTCATACACTGAACTGTTCTGGCACATGATCTTGCTACTCTTTCAAATATTACCATCAAATCAGTTTTATAACAGCAAATAATAGATTTAAGAGTTTTATTTGGATTACAGTTTATTAAACATCTGTGTCCTTGAAAAAAAGTTAATCAAACAATTTTATTCAGCGCATCACAAATTTACAAATGATAAATAAGCAATCCAGCAGGAGGAAGAATATGTGGCGCCCAAACATTTACCAATCTGCTTCAAGAACCATGAAAATCACCAGTTTGTTGTCGCCCTGCTATCCAACATGCATACAGCATAAGTTCAACACGCAGCTCGATGGTCCGTGTGACTTTTTCTTGTTTGTGTGTTTTTAATTCCACTACACAATGAAGCAAAAATGGAAACAGGGTCAATAAGCACATCCTCAAATGCGATGGCTGCAGCACTTAGAGGAGGAGCTCAGGAGGACCTGAAAGCTTCTGGATATTTATGCTACATTTCCAGCATCCAGTGCTCATTGTGAAATATTTAGTTCAATTAATCACATCTAAACAGCATCATTCTGAAGAAGATTCTCATTCATCCAGGTCATAGTCATTCCGTAAAAGTTTTTTTAAAAACAACATCCAGAAAGCATCTTGACTTGGCACATTTGGAGAACTATGGTAGAAGTTCGAAGAACAGACATGAAAAATAGAATACATTTAAGTCAGATTTGTTCATATTCTTGTGACATTTAATTTGATTGTTTATTTATGGATATTAATCATGAAATTATGTTACTACTATGTGATTTACTTTGTAGAAACACAGAAAAAAATCTGTGTAATTAAGTAGTTAGAGGGACAGATAGCTTCAGCACATTTCATTATGCAAGATGGGAATGTTTTAATGTGAACAAAAATTTCTGCATGAAATATGTAAGGTCTGATTTCCTACAGAGCAGGATCCTCCTAGCCTCGTGAGACCATCCTGATCTCGCAAGCTTTCAAGGTTTCACTCGCAGATCAGTCTGGAGACTCTCCGTTAAAGAAAATTTGGAGCCGTTCACCAAACGAACGTCCAATCAGCGTTGGCTTTGCGGCGGGTTGAGGTGTGACGCAACGAGACGCGCGACAGTTCAGTCTAAAGAACATGGCGGCTTCAGCCGATGAAACTAGCGTTAGCGTGGCTATCGAGCAAGTTTTATCGGAATTACAGAGTATTTCTTCACTGAAAAAAGAGCAAAACACTGCTCTGGAGGCTTTCCTCAGAGGAAAAGATGTTTTTGCTCTTCTCCCGACTGGTTTCGGCAAGAGTAGCCTGGCTGTTAGTACGTCATATGCTTCGTTGATCTGATTGGTTTATTTGGCCAGTCTATCACCAACATAGGCCAATCAGCTAACCAGTATTTTTGCCCCTTCCCAAAATTACTTAAACGGAAGGTTTCCAGATGGATATGTGGAGCCAATCCATCTGGCGGAGTCAGGTTAGGATCCTCCACCGTAGGACTCATATAGCAGAATACACATCTAATAAACACTTTTTGTTTTTTCATTTTAAGGGGGCAACATCAC